TAGAGCACCGGCCCTGGATTCAGGAGGGCCTGAGTTCAAATCCAGCCTCAGACACTTAACACTTGCTAGCTGTATAACCCTGGGCAAGTCACTTAACCCCACTGCCTAACCAAAAAAAAAAAAAAAAAAAAAAAAGAAAAGGAATGTTACCCACCTGGCTATTCCTGAGTCTGGCTATGAAGTGAATTTGATACTGCACAGTTAGAAAACTGAATTATCTGAATCCAAACAGAGCTAAGGATATTTCATCTTGTCATTTGGGTCCTAAATCTAGTCCCTGTTTTATATCTGGGCCTTGCAGTCTTTCTGTCAGATTTGTGTCTTCCAGACTACAGGCCATTCACCTACAGTTGGTAGCAAACAGAGAGTACCAGCCAATGTCCCCCCATAGTTCCCTGGATACAGCCTGTGCTTGGCTCCAGTCAACCTCCTGTTTGGGACCCCCTCGAGGCAGGGACAGTTCTACTCCCCTTGCCAGCAGGAAGCAGTTTCAGAAGCCAAGACCTTCGTCCCTCACACCAAAAGAATTTGTGTCTCATTTGTTTGAGGAGGGAATGATGATAGGATCTGGACCCCAGAAAGGAAAAACCCTGGACTTTCCCACATGGCCAAATCCCTGGCCTCTGCCTGAGGCTATAATCCCATCAACTGGCCTTTCATTGTAACTGCACTCAATCTCCCACTTCTCTGTTACCCTTAACCTAGCCTAGTCCTCCACTGTCTTTCCTCCCTATGGCCCCAGCCACTTCCCACCCTTTATCCTAGCTAGGCTCCATTCTCCCTTGGCCATGGCATTCTACTACCTCACAGTCCCAGCAGACTGCTTGGCCACTCCTAGATCCCTCCCACAGTCTTTCTGTATATAAGGTCCACCTTGTCTTCATTAAGGTGTTCAGATTCTTAAAATCTAGCCACTGCTCAGATTCTTATAATCTAGCCACTAGCTCACTAATGTTTAGACACCTTAAGAGTCTGCCCAATATGGTGGATGTTCTAATAAACCTTGTCTTTAGCTGAAAAAAAACAAACCTAAACCAGAGAAGACTAACCACAGAGGAAGAACTATAGAATGATATCATTAATGGATATCAACTAGAATATTTTATATAAAATCCTGTCAAATAGAGAATTCATCCAAAAAATCATTCATTATCGCCAAGTTAGATTTATAGCATCGCTACAAGGCTGGTTCAACATTTGGAAAATAATCAACATAATCATATCAAAACCAAAAACATGTAAAAAGCACATGACTATCGCAACAGATACATGACAAAGTATAGTGCTCATTCACAGTATGAAACAACCTACACAGTACAGGCATAGAGCATACCTTTTAAAAGGCAGCTATAAACCCAAAGGCAAACATCAAATGCAATGGAGACATATTAGAAGCTTTCCCACTAAATACAGGAGGTAAGCAAGGATGTGCACTCTCTCTGCTCTTAATTGATATAATTCTAGAAATAGCAACAATAGCAATGAGATAGAAAAAGAAGTTAAAAGTGTAAAGACTGGTAAAAAAAAAGGAAATAAAATTCTACCTATTTACTGATGGCATAATGGTTTGTTAGCAAATTCTAGAGAATCAGAAAATATGCTGAGAAAATTAATAGCTTCACTAAAGTTGTAGGCTACAAAATAAACCCACAAAATCAGTGGCATGTGTATATAATAATAACAAAATCCAAGAGGCAATAATAGAAAGGGAAATCAGTTCAAATACTTTAAAAATCTATGAAATAATTGTGGCTCAGCCTACCAAAGTACATGTATAGATTCAATTTCAAAATGCTCTTTAAAGATAAAAGAAAACAAGTTTTAAATAGCTGGAAAGGTAGTGTTCGTGACTGAGTACTGCCAATATAATAAAAATTAAAACACTACCAAAGTTAATTTATAATTTTAATGCCATAATACCATTCAAATTATCAAAGGCATTCTTAACAGAACTCAATAACATGACAACAAATTCATTTGGAGAAACAAAAGATACAGAATATCAAGGGAAATCATCAAAAATGTCGAGACAAAAGAGAATGGCACTTGTAGACTTCAAACTATATTATAAAGCAATAATCACCAAAACCATTGGTATCAGTTAAAAAATAAAATAGGCCAATGGAACAGATGAGACAAGAGGAATCAGAAAGAAGATAACTCAATAACTAAGCATTCAATTGACAGGAAACCATAAATTACTTAGAAAAGAACTGCCTATTTGATAAAAATTGCTCTGAAAACTTGAAAACAGTCTGGAAGAAATCAGGCTTAGACCAACACCTTATGTTCTATTAAAGAGAAGTGGTTGCCCATAAATTGTGGAATGGATGAACAAGTTATGGCATATGGAATACTATTGTGAACTCATATCAGTGTAATGACCAACCAGGATTCCAGAGGACTAATGATGACATATACTACCTACCTCCTAATAGTGTAGTGAATTACTCAGAGTGTAGAAAGAGACAAATATTTCTTTGGACATGGCCAATGTGAAAATTTGTTTTGATGGACTCTCACTTGTTTGTAATGGGTTGTGTTTTTCTTGTGCTCTCATTAGGGAGGATGAGGTGGAAGGAAGAAGGTGGATCTGAAACAAATTGAAGTTTGAAACACTGAAACAAAGTTTTTTGCTTGTTTGTTTTAAAGAACAAGGCATGCTAGACTAACCTAGTTTCCTTTTTTAGACTGGTAGTCAGAAAATATATATTAAACACCTACTATGTGCCAGGCGCAGTGCTGACTAAATTCTGGGGTTACAAAGAAAGGCAAAAGGTAATCCTTCTCTCAGGAAGCTCACAGTCTAATGGGGGAGACAACATGCAAACAACTATATATATATATACATATATATATATATACATATATATATGCACACACACATGCATATATACACATATATACACACACACACATATATACACATATATACACACACACACACACACATATATATAGTTTTATATGAGACATATGTTATATGGTTACATAGACTTACATGAGGAGACCAGGATCACCATATCGCAGAATATGTTAGTAAGGTAAAAGTTGTAAGAAGACTAGAAGGGGGGACAGGTTATGAAGAGTTTTCAGTGCCAAATAGAGGATTTCATATTTTGTCCTGGAGGTGATATGGAGTCACTGGAGTTTATTGAATAGGGGGATGATGTGGTCAGACCTGTGTTCTGGGGAGATCGCTTTGGCAGTTGAGTAAAGGATAGATTGGAGTGTGGAGATACTTGTATCAGGGAGACCAACTAGAAGGTTGTTGCAATAGTTCAAGATATGGGTGTATACCAGGGTAGGAGAAGTGTCAGAGGAGAGAAGGTAAAATTGACAGGTCTTGGCAACAGATTAGATATGGGCAAGGGATAACATCTAGGTTGTGAGTCAGTGATTGGGAGGTTCATGGTATCCTCAGTAGAGGAGGCCACTTCTACAGATAGTTTGCCTAGTTTCGGAAAATCATTTAACAAAATTGTTCATGTTATCTTGTTGGAGATATGGAGAGATGTTGGGGAAGATGGAGAGATATGGACTAGATGATAAAACAGTTTGGAGGATTCAGAGATGTCTAAATGGCCAAACCCAAAGACTAGCTATTAATGGGTTGATGTCAATGAGGAGAGATGTCTCTAGTGTAGTGCTTCAGGGATCCATTCCTGCTTCTACACTGTTCAACGTTTTAACCTATGACTTGGATAAAGGAAGATCATTCATAGACATTAAGCTGGGTGGGATCACTACCAACCGGGATGACAGACAGGACCCCCCAAAAAGGTCTTAGGCTGAATTTCATAACATGAAATTTAATAGGCAAAAATGTTAAGTCTTATCCTTGGGCTCAAAAAAATCACCTTCATATGTACAAGACGGGAAGAAGTGAAACTTGGCAACAACTAGTGGACTAGGAGCTCAATATAAATTGTCAGTTTGACATGGCAGCCAAAAAAAGCTAATGCAATCATAGAGTACATGAGAAGAAGCATAGCTTCCAGGAAGGTGAGGATCCCATTGTGCTCCACTGTCACCAGCCTACATCTAGAGTATTGGTGGGGTTCTAGGTGCCAAATATTCAGGACATTGGAATACAATTGGAAGGTATCCAGAGGAGGGCAATCATTCCTTCAATGGTGAAGGACTTTGAGTCCATGTCCTATGAGGATTGCCTGAAAGAACTGGGTTTAGTTTGGAGAAGATAAGAGCCAGAGGTCGCATGAAAGTATTACTTGGATGCTATAAGCAGGAATAATGGCTGGAAGTTATAAAACCAAAATTGAGTTTGACATGAGGGAAGACTTCCTAACAATTAGAGCTATCCCAAAGTAGAATGAGCTGCCCCGAAAGGTGGTGGGTCCCTCCTTATTGGAGGTCTGGAAGCAGAGGCTGGATTAACTACTTATAAAGTATATTTTGAGTATGGGTTGGACTAGATGATTGCTAAAATTGCTTGCCAACTAAAATTCTGTGATTTTTTTATCAATAACCACTAGGTGGAGCCTATACTGAGGCTGGCTTCAGTTTTCGACAAATATGTCTGGTTGGCAATCGGGAAACAAATGTCAGAGTTTCCCAAACTGTGTTCCATGTTGGAATATATGTAGATAGAATACAAGAGAATTCTGATGTCAAGGATAGTTTCTACCAAACAACATTAAGTATCAAAAAATACTTAAATTATGTGACTTTTTTTGGCATGAAAATAGACTTTATTCCCTTGATTCTCATCCCCAAATCTGACACCTTATTTAACTTGGGCTTATTTTATGCCTCCAATTCTCCTGACCAAGACTTGTTGATTCTGTCAATTTATTTCAAACTCAAAGGCTTTCTGTGGCCAAATCTATTTGGGAAACATTGTTTATGGACGGTAAACACACTACGTGTTTACTGGGTACAGCCTTAATAAAAAGATGTGTTCTGTAAAACTTGGACTCAGTCAAAAGGCAGCATCCAAGGACCTAGAAGGCCACACATGGCCTCCAGCCGCAGGTTCCCCACCCCTGCCCTAGGCAATTCCCTGGGTTCCCCATATGCCAATTATAGGGCTCTCTATAGAAACCCCCACCTCCTTTCCATCCTGTCAGTCAATTCTATGGCTTGGTTTGCATGGCAGACTCTCCAGCCTCCTTTTCTAGGTAAGACCCATAGAATTCTTCTTCCATTTATAGATGTGCTGGAGCAGACAAACCAGCCTGGCTGCAGTAGAAAGTCATCCTGAGAGAGAGAACAGAAGCAACATGTGCCAGGAAGACCAAACCTCATCTGTAAGAGGAGGTTGGACTAAAGATCTCTAAGGCACCTTCTGCTTCCAAATCCTACTACTTAAAGATGAAATTATATTTAATAAAAACGGTAATTATTACAGTCCAAAGCTTCATTCCCCTATCAAAAACACTGAAAAGATGTCAAAGCCAATAGTTTCTACTGAATGTCTCTATTATGGGGGTCTGGAGGTGGAAGGGGGAGAATGGGAACATTTGGCCTTTCTTCTTTTTTCCCTCCAATTAGCACAACAAAAATTGTGAATCAGACTAGTTTCACTTTCTAAATATACTTCAGTCCCACTGCGTTCATTGGAAAATGAACTGCTGTCGGCCACTGAGCATCGATGGAACATTTAATTCTTCAGAATAATTTGGTCGCTGTGGCACTAATGGGCTACTGGACATAACCTCCTGTTGGCTAAATACATTGACTGTCTGGGAAAGGCGATTTAACAACATGTACATTCACCAGCCAAAGCATGGAGGCTTTAAAGAAAGTACTCCACCATAAAGTGATACTAATAAAAAAAAACCCTATAATTAACTAAGCCACCAGGAGCTCACTGCTGGAGTTAAATTGAACTTAATCTATTTGCAGAATGTCAATTCCATATGCCAATTATAGGGCTTTCTATAGAAACCCCCACCTCATTTCCATCCTGTCAGTTAATTCTATGGCTTGGTTTGCATGGCAGACTCCCCAGCCTCCTTTTCCAGGTAAGACCTATAGAATTCTTTTTTCCATTCATAGATGTCCTGGAACAGACAAACCAGCCTAGCTGCAGTAGAAAGTCATCCTGAGGGAGAGAGATAGGAAGCAGCATGTGCCAGGAAGACCAAACCACCTTTTGGACTTTGAGCCCAAGAGCTCTGGGAACACCGTTGGCACCAGACCACCATCTCTGCTCGGAATCCAGACTCCTAGTCATATTCCAGGAGAGCAATCCCCAAACTGCCACCCCCTGCCACTAACACTGCCAATTGCTGACAACTGCTGAAGATGGGAGGAGAGAAGAGGAAGGGAAGGCAACGATCATTTATAAAGTGTCTACTATGTTCCAGCACTGTGTTTAGCACTTTCACAAACATTATCTCATTTTTGTCTCATTTGATTGATTAGGACAAGTAAACCCAAGAGTCCCAGAAGAGTGAGGCCCCTGAGACCAATGGAACTACTTCCAGCCTGGCTCCCTCATCCATCATCCAGGGAAGGCTCCTTTACCAAAATGACGCCGAACAACTGTCTTGCAGGGGTGGCACCCTCCGCTTCCTTTGGAGACACAGCTACGGAGGACCAGGAAAAGAAAGTTCTCGCCACCCAAGTCCCTGACGTCTCAAATGGTTCAACATAGGAAACCTATATAGTTTTAGCAATGGAAATGGCATTAAAGGAGGCACCTTACCACCACTGTGCCCTAACAACCACTGACTTGTAGAGCTGAACCCTCCTATATGAGCTGTCTTCTCAGTGTAGAATGTGAATAGCCTATTTGTAGCCTTATCGCTTAGCAGAGTGCTTTGGAAGCACCAAACAAATGCGCTTTTTTTCATTCATTCATATCTCTCAGTATTTCAACAGTATATCTATATTGGAAAGACACTGTTGATGGACAATAAGTTGGATCCAGAATCAGATTAGGAGGCAGTCAAGCCAGGTCACATTTGGGAAATCAAAACAGTGGTTTAAGTGATCCCTAACTGTGTTTTACTGGAAAAGGCCATCTCTTCTCTTCCCCTCCCTGCCTCCCCCTCTCCCCCATCGCTGCTGCTCCTCCTCCCCTCCTCTCTAATGTTAATATTCCTCTAATCATGTTTGGCCAACAAATCACAGATTACTATCACCTCAGAAAAATCAAACCCAAAGGGCAATAGAATCTTGACGGACATAGGTGTCAGCACGTCATCCATAATGACTGGACATCATTCAGAACACCGAGACAAGTGGGTCTGATGTGGAGTGAAGGTGGAGGATGACAGATACCCCGAGTGTTGAACTGGTATCTATAAAATGCTAAATAGCCAGAGAAAGATCTTCAGGATAGTGGGAGAATTCTCTCAGGAACTTATGGAAAGAACTTATGAGAAATGCACAGGATTAGAAGGTATGAAAAAGATGCATGCATGGATAAAGTTCTCACTGAGACCACAGATCTATCAGAGAACATTTGAGGCCACGAGACTTTCACAGACTGTTCCATGGATCAAATCTTCTCTAAGTATACGGATCCTCCTACCAGTTCCAGTAAGTACCACATGGCAGTTTAAGCTGCTCTTGGTTCGAACAGCCCTGATTAAGATTGGAGCTATACCTAGTTGATTATATAACTCACTAGAATTTTCCCAGGGCCATTTAGTGTACGATGACAACACAGAACAGCCTGGAACAGTTCCAGACCTATCCACACAATGGTGACTGAGATGATAATAGTGCACCATTTAAGGCTTATAAAGCATTTTCATCACGACAGCACTATGAGGAATGCAAGTATCATTATCCCAATTTTACAAATGGTGGGACTAGGGCAAAGAGAGGTGAAGACTTTTTGGAAGTCATACAGCTAGTAAATGCCAGAGTATGAACATTAATCTAGCTCTTCCAAATCCACTGCTCTTTCCATTACAAAAAAACTTGATTCCACAGTGCACTATAATGATGGACACATCAGAAAGTTGATTCAAAACAAAAAGCAAAGCCAGAATCATGTGATCACCCAACGCATAATGGAAAGAATGCTATAGAGAACGTTCCTATGTGGTCACCAGACAATAAAAGTAGGAGGTGGCAAATGTATTGGAGGCAGTTTATCATTTGAGAAAAAAATGTTGAATTAGAAAGATGATGGACAAGAGAGGAATCCTCTGATTTAGAGACTGGGATTCCATGGGACCATAAATGGCCAGCCAGGAGGTTGAAAATTCAGTGGGATGACCGATGGGCTGGGTTTTGGAAAACAAATAGAAATGGCACAAGATACGATGATGCTATCCCCCTCCTCAATGTATGAACCATAAAGCATTAATGTGCTATACATGGCAAGAATATCAGAAAGCAATCATTATCACATTTGTATAGAAAATTTTTTCATCATTTTATTTTAATTCTCTCCACTCCAAACATTCTTTATTATATTCTTTCAGAACTTTAGTGCCTGGGGCTGAGGTGACATAACTTGGAACTCACTGGCCCAAACATGGCCCTTCCAGTTCTCTTGGAAAATTGTTGCCTGAAACACAGTGCTTGCTTCTAACTCTGAATGGGTAGGATCTGTCTCCATATCCTCAGTAAAGAGGACACGACATGGTTGAGCTGCCCAAACAGAACCAGACCAGTTTCAGACAAGGAAATTCCCCTCCAAGATCCACTTGCCACTGGCCTCACTGGGAGGTCCCGTCAGCAATTTCTACCTGTGGGGAATGAGAAGTGTGAATGGCAGAATAGCTCTAGGTGGTGAAGGGACTGAAACATGGCTCAGGCAAGCTACTCCTTGGTCCTTCCTATTCCACGCCACCACTTGCAGCAATGAGGAAGCTCTGTTGGTAACAGACATGGTTCCATCTGAAAGCTCTCTTTCCCTAAACCTGATAGCATTGTCTGATACAGCACCCCAATGACCGGACACAACTGTATACAAGATCTCTTGGAAGAAAAAATACAATTCAGCTTATCAAAATATTTGTATTATCTATAAAAATTAAACTCTAAAGAGTCATTAACACTGGGTACCATGCCTGTCCCTCCACTGGCATGCAAATGGCAGACACAGCTCTGTCCTTGAAAACCCCATAGGCTGGGGCATGCCTGAGCATTTGTAGCTGGTGAGATGAGCAAAGAGTCATTTGTAAGGCCTCAAAAACCTGGACACTTTGGATCGTAGTAACCGGATGAATGATCTTGGAAACATCTCTCTGGACTCCTGCGCTGTATACTTGAAGTAATTTTGTGGATGTGCCAGGACATCAAATAGAGCCTTGATTAATTTCTTATCCTAAAAAGAACAAAATTTTGGTCAATGGACTTTGTAATCACTTCATTGACATGGTATCTCTCCAATCTAGTTTTTTTCTTATTTTCTTTTCCAGATACAGTGTAAAAATCAGTTCCTTTATCCAGATGACTGCCAAGATTGGGCTTTCTGAATGTTTCCGGGTTTGCTGTGGTGGAAAAGACAATGTGACACAGTGAGGAGAATGCTATACTTGGAGTTATAAGTTAAGACCTGGGCTTTGGTCTCAACTCTGACATTTACTACACATGTAACCCTAAACAAGTCATTTAAACCCATGAGCCTTAGTTTCACATGTAAATGGAGATAAGAACACTACCTATGTTATTATGAGGAAAGGATTTTGTTAAATGTATAAAAAGCAAACTATTATTATATTTCAATACTTCAAACATATAAGATTTCATCGGTGTGGTCCCTCCCTCCAACGTTGATCCTGATTCTGCTATGCTTCAATAGATAATCCTCATGTATTACAAGGGCTGAAAGAATTCATCACTGGTGGTTAATCTCCATAGTGAGGCTGCTCTTGGAAGGAGAGATGTACAGACTGTTACCTGGCCCCTTCCCAAAAGTCTGTGCGGGCTGGTCAGACCCATCAGACCTCGGATTCCGTGGCCATAGTCCTTGAGAACCTAGTATGTCACCTCCATACCATGATAAGACAGTGGAGCAACACTGTTAGAGAATGATTATTGTTGTTTACTGTGAAATGCTTCAAATATCCAAAGCTTTATGAAAAGTATGTGAAGCAGTCAAGGGTTCCCCAACATTTCACGTTAAAATGACACAGCTACTTGTTGCTTTGGAATGGTAACCAGGTTGTGACAGATAAGAAGAAAGATCAGCAAAAGCTTACAAAACCATGGCAAATACTACACAAAGGAGGGTGAACTAAATCCTCCAAAAGCAGCTGCTTCTCCTACAAGGAATAATGATGAGAATTCAGAGATGTCGTAAGGTGAGGAATCATCCAGTAAGGGCCAGAGGAAAAGGAGTCCAGCGCTATTAGCTGGTGACATCTTGTTGAGAGGTAGGGAGGGAGGTGGTTAGTTGTTGACCTGTTAAGAATAAGAGTGACATCTGCTATCTTTCTGGGGTGTACAGTGGGGACGTGACAGAGAACACCTCACCTCTGTCACACCAGATGACTAGTAGCCACTTCTGATGATTCCCACAGGCACAAATAATACTGCTAGAAGGAACTGAGAAAGATTCCTAACAATCATACTCAGGAAAGAAAGAGAAGGTCTAAGAAGAACAAGTAATGTTTTCATTGAGCTATCACTGATGTCAGGCTTCATTTAAGAAAGGAAGATTTGGGAAGTCAATAGCTCTTACTGTGACTGGGTGTCTTAAAATGGGATTCAAGGACAGATTAAAATATAGCAATGCTGGGCCCTGACCACGGATGGAGTATATGTAACAAGAATTAGAATGAGTGCATTTGCTGAGATTTTGCCAATTTGGTCAAAAATACTTTAAATTAAAAAGGAAGGAGGAGAGGCAGCTAGATGGCGCAGTGGATAGAGCACCGGCCCTGAAGTCAGGAGAACCTGAGTTCAAATCTGGCCTCAGACAAAACATTTGTCATGTTACTAGCCGTGTGACCCTGGGCAAGTCACTTAATCCCAACTGCCTACTAAACAAAAAACAAAAAGGAAGGAGGAAAGAGAAAAAGCTTATGTGCATCCATGTGACGAGACACCTCAGAGGGCAGCAACAAAATAGTTAGGAAAATAATAGTAAAGATACTCAGAAATTCATAGGAGACAAAATCCAGGAAAGGAGCCAGTAGCAAAATTCATGTCCTCAGACATCTTCTCACAAATTCACAAAGTATGAGTAACAAGCAAAGTGAACTAGAGATTTTAATGCAAGGAAGCAAATTTGACTTCAAAGGCACCACCAACTTGGTGGGATACGACCTATGCCTGGCATATGGCACTAGAAGGGAAGTATCTTATTGAAAAGAACAGGATAAAAGACATTGGAATGCTGATCAATGTAGGCATGACCAATCCTGACTTCAGAGGCGTGTTTTCCTTCTTTCAATGGAGAAAAAATGTACTCTAAGTTTGGAATAAGGCAAAACTGTACCTTTTTGTTACAAAGGAGGGTTCTATTGGGGCAAGAGGAAGGAAGAATGAGTGGGAATAACAGTGAGAGAGAGGCAACATGGCATAGCGGATAGTGTTGAACCTGGAGTCAAGCATATCTGAGTTAACATCCCACCTAAGACATTTACTAGCTGTGCTACTCTGGGCAAGTCATTCAACCTATGTCAGCCTCAGTTTTCTCATCTGTAAAAAGGAGGTAATAATACCACCTACTTCAAAAGGTTCTTCTAAAGATTAAATGAAGCAATATAAAGCATTTTGTAAACCTCAAAATGTGATTATAAATATCAATTATTATTACTATAAAAACAGCAACATTCTGTTAAAACAAAATTTTGAAGACTTTTTAAAAAGGAACAAGATAGGTAAAAGTGGTGGTAGAGGAGTATTGTACATTAATAAGATAGTCATGTAAAGAAATTCAGGACTTAGAGAGAGTATGGTAGAAACCATTTGAGTGAAGATCAACAGGTTTGCTGTGGTCATCGGAATATACTGCAGACCACGCTAGACAGCAAGAGGAAATAGACATGGGATTTGGGAAAGACATCACAAAGTTGGCAGAGAGGCATGATACAGGTGTTCTGAGGGATTTCAACGATCTGGACATCTTTGGGATCTTTCACTCCATCAGAAACAGAATTAATAGTTCCTTGACTTTCCTTAGCTATGATTTCATACTTCAACAAAGGTGGGAACCAACAAGAGGAAATTCTGTTGTGGAACCTGAACTCATCAATGATGAAAAACCAGCTGTGGAGGTGAAAGTGATGGGACTCTTTGGGGGAAAAGGACCACAGTCACCAAATCACAGAATTTTTGATAGAAGATGCACAGAGAAGCAGCATCTGACATGTTCCCTGCCACTGGGGAGAGTAGATTTCAAACGGGTTCAGAAAAAGGACAATCCATGATATTCTAATTAAAATTTTACAGAGGAAGTCAACCCAGGAAGGAAGGGATGTTCTCAAGAATGAAATTTTGAAGACAAAGAAATCAAATTAGAAGGAAAAAAGTAAGTTCTCTGTAAAAATGTTTACAGAAAAGAAAACAAAGGCAAGTAAATGGAAGACAAATACAAAGATGTAGTGATACACTGCAAGGACAGTTCTGGGAGCCTTAAAGGTCAGAAGGAATGAAGCAAAGGCCAAGAAAAAGGCATTTTTTTTGGGGGGGTGCCTTTTCTTTTGGCCAGGCAATTGGGGTCAAGTGACTTGCCTAGAGTCATACAGCTACTAAGTGTCATATGTCTGAGGTCAAATTTGAACTCAGGTCTCCTGGCTCTAAGGCCAGAACTCCATCCACTGCGCCACCTAGCTGCCCCCTAAAAGGCATTTTTTAAAAGCCAGATTCATTTCTCAGGGTATGTGTGAAACTGTCCTTCCTGATTCTTCTCTCTCGGTGACTGGGTGCATTGGGGGTGACCCAAAGCCTTTCACACTAAAGAGTGCTTTGGAGATGAGGAAACAATTCTCTTCCTGGCCACTGAACAGTAAAGGCTAATGACTCAGTGGACCTTTAAGAGGGGGTGACCCACACTCAGTTGTCTTTCTTTCTCAGCTGCTGTGGTGTAACTACCCTCTCAGGTTCTCACTGCAAGGGGTACAGATGGGAGTTGGTATCCCTTCTTCCAGGCCTACCACAGCCTCCTACTCCCACTTCCGCCTTGGCAACTAGGACAAGGAGAAAGAACTAAAGCCTAAGCACCTGGCTGCCTCCTCTGCCCTGTTTCTTAGCCTGACCGCAGGTGACCAAACAATGATCTTGAGACGGACATGGTCAAGTCCAGTCTTGACAGCAGCCTCCTGGGTTTGAGAAGCTGGAGAGCCTGGGTCCTTCAGTGGAACTGATGGGTAACAAGGGGAGTTTCTGCACCAGAGAAGATGACCACTGACAAGAGAATGAGCCCAAGACCTGGCCTGGCTTGTCAGGAGATGCGGACCTGGAGTTGTTTGGATAGCAAAAAGTGAGGCGAGATGAAACAATCCCTATTTAGTAGTCTTGCAAACTGTTTCATGCTCCAATAATTATATTGCTGTATCCTGTTTTAAGTATTTTATGTTAATTCATGCATGTGAGATCCTTTTGCATTAACTATTTCCTTCATGTGCAGGAAATAAATGCCTACCTTACACTTGATTTACACTGTAAATTGAGTACTCTTCTACTCTCCTCTTTAAGGAGACCCTAGACATGGGCCAAAATCTGAACTTCACATATTTTTTCTGAGGTGCTAGAAGAAGGTTTAATTAGCCATAAAGCATAAAGAAAGGAATCTGACCCCTCTCATTAGAGGTCAGGCTCCCCAAAAAGGCCTAAGTCCAGGCTGGACACTATAAGTGATTTCTGAATTACTGTAAAGGATGGGAGAGTCACTATAGGACTACAGAAGGGCAAATGTCCTGATCTGCATAAAAAGGAAGACAGTAGCACCTATAAGCTAGGGAGCTTGACTTCAGACCCTGGCAAATGCATACCACATATTATTAAAGGAGTGATTAGTGAACACTTAGAAAAAGCATTGGTGATCAAAAAGTGCCAGTATGGCTTCATTAATCATAGTTCATGACAGACATATCATTTCCCTTTTGTGACAGGGATACTCAACTGGTAGAGCAGTAGAAAGTTGTAGGTATAGTTTACTGAGATTTTGGCAAAGCACTTGATAAACTCTTATGCTTGTGGAAAAAATGGAGAGATGCAGATAAGACAATAATATGGTCAAACAGAATTGGAACTGGTTAAGTGGTTAGACTCAAAGAAGAATCACTTGGCTTGATGTCAGCTTGGCAGGAGGTCTCTAGAGGACTGCCCCAGGGATCTGTAGATGGTCCTAGATTTTAATATTTTATCAATAACTTGGATAAAGCCACAGATGACACAAAATAAGGAGTGATAGCTTCTAGTCAGATGAAAGAATCGGGATTTTAAAAGATTTTAACAAATCTGTTCAAATTAAATTTATTAGGAATTAATGTTAAAATCTTGCCTGGGTTCAAAAAATCATCTCCATCAGTACAAGATGGGAGAGGTTTGACTGGATTTTGGTGAACTATAAGCTCAATATAAGTCAGCATAGTAATAGGAAGATTAAAAAGCTAATGTAATTGTAAGTTAAAGAGAATCATAATGTCTAGGGCCAGGATGGTAATAATCAGCCTGTACTATTGCTTGGTCAAACCACGTAGGAACAGTTCTGTTCAGCTCTTGGCACTGCATTTAGAAAAGACATTGATAAGCTGGGGGAGCATCCAGAGAAGGCCAGTCAAGATGGCGAAGGACCTCAAGATCAAGCTGAATTCAAGGAGACTACTAGGGAGGAGCCAGGGATATTCAGTGAGAGGAAGAGGATTTAAGGGAGGATCTGGGAGTTGATTTTCGAGTATCTGAAGGGAGGCCATGTGGAAGAAGCTTAGACTGCTTGTTCTGCTCCTCCAGAAGGCAGAACCAGGATCAACCTGCAGAAGTTGAGAAGAGTTCAATCTGGGCTTGGAATCAGGGAAAACTTCCCAACAATCAGAATCACCTGAAAGAGACCTGACAGCCTTGGGAGGGGAAGAAGTGCTTTCCACCCCTCCTGATCTCCGCTGGACGTCTTTGACCTGATGCTGAACAGAACTTGTCGGGCACGGCGGAACAACCCTTGTGGGCTTTTGGGTTTGGATGACATGGCCTCTAAGGTCATTTCCTCTAAGGTCAAAAATTCTGTAGCTTTGTAAATTACCTAGTTGTGTTCGTCATGAAAAGATTTAATCCAGAACACTGACCTTAAGTATTTCCTGATGATTTTCAGATGCATATAACCTGCCATCTCGGACTATGTCTTCAATGAGCTCCTGGTAATCCTCTGTTGGAAACAAACGATGCTATTTTTGCTTCTCTTGTGGCTTAGCAGTTTCAAAACTAGTATTCTTTACTATTAAGTAACTTTAACACAAATACTCTGCCTCAGAATGACGTATCCCATCACCAAAAGGCTTTGGGAAGTACAATCTTTCAGAAGTGGCATGCCATAGTACAACATAATAAGCACTTATAAAGAGCTTATTGACTAACTTGGGAATGAGGGGAACCACCAGTCCCAACCTTGGCCATGTACTAGTTCTGAATTCTAACACATCACTTCTCCCGCTGGGTCTCACTATAAAGGGAGAGATTGGGTCAAACCATCCACAAAGTCCCTTCTCGCTCTAACAGTCTATGTTGCAGTCCTAAAATGTTGCAGTCCACAGATTTTATTTCCGCCACACCAACATCACCAGCAAATACACCAAAAAAATTTTGAAAATCAAGTAAAGGAGATTTAAAATAATAATAATAATATGGAGTAATTTTGCATGGGGCAAAACCCCCAACATACTTCACAACTGGCCCAGAGGCCATCATTGTAATATTACAGAAGACATATTCATATTGACAAATGATAACCTTGAGTAATCAAGAACAGGTTAAATTATATTCTTTATGTTCTGTTTAAGAAAGCATAGAAGTATGTAAAACATTGTGGAAAGGTTTCTATCCATAATTGTTTAAATTAAAAAAAAAAAAGATTTGGTGCTTAACCTAAATAGTTTCCAAGATTTTTTTTCTAATCCTAAGAATAGGTGACTAGATTAAAGGGGTAAATGCTCAGCTTCAGAGAAAACTCAGCTCCAGGGAGTTAAATTTTTACTGAATTTACCATCTAAAACCTCTTTCAGTTCTCACACTCAGAGTTCTCAAACAGAAGTTCAGCACCTGTTTCTTCACAACATTCTTTCCCCCCTTCCTTGCTGCTTTTCTGAAACACATGTGCTCAGCAGGTCTTTAGCTGCCTCAGAAATTACTTGCATGAAAACATTTCGTATTGAGCAGTGAAGTCAGAAGGGGACCAGATCTGAGCCCCTTACCATCATACGTTACATAAGGGACCTGGAAGCCTCTGGCACTGTTCCCTTCATTAGATTTAAACTGAATCCACAGCTTCTTCGATCTGGAGGTGAAGGCTATCGGACGTTCATATGTTTGGCAGGTTTCATAGGTTGTCACAGAGTTGGAGGAGGCTGCAAAGGAAACGTACGCTAGAGATCAAAATCTCTTTACTGAGCAGACACAAATATAGTTGTCTTTTCAAAAACTCATGAAACAAGGAAAACTCATTGAGGAAATCTTCATGCCCAATTGAATCATCACACCTGTAGGCAGCCCTCGAAATGTAGCAAAACCAAAAATAAAGCTAGAAATCCCTCTTTTACCAGAGGTTGAAAACAAAAGGATTAGAGGCTGGACATTTAAGCAGCAGCCACATCACCTTTTACTGTACTCTTGAACTAGGCAGTCTCAAGTTCCAAGAGTGAATTTTTTATCAGTCATAATCTATATACAGACACAAATGCTTAGGTCAGTATTTTTGGCTTGTTACCATTCCCTCTTGGACACAGCCCCGAGTCCCCATCCTGATAAGGTTTCTGTCAACATCTCTGATCTGTGAGAAAAATCACTATATCACTGAGGACTCCATTATGATGCTGGTGTCAGGGGATCTTTCTGTCTATCAATCTACCTATCTTTCAGCCTCGTGTTCTCTGTGTTAGAGTGAGAGAGCCACCCTCATCACCTCTTCTGGTTCAGCTCTTTGCCTCAAGTCTCTCCCACCCCAATCCATTCTTCACTAAGCTGCCAAAGCGACTTTTCTAAAGCACTAGTCTGTCCATGAAATACATCTGCTTAATGAGCTCCAACAGCTACCTATTACCTCTGGCAGCAGTTAGGTGGTGCAGTGGATAGAGTGCTGTGCCAGGAAGACCCAAGTTCAAATCCAGCTCAGACATCTTGCTACCAGTGTGACCCTGAGCAAGTCACTTAACACCCTATTTGCCTCAGTTTCCTCGTCTGTATAATGAGCTGGAGAGGGAAATGGCAAAACACTGCAGTATCTTTGCTAAGAAAACCCCAAAATGGGGTCACAGAGTTGGACATGACTGAAAACAACTGAACCACAAATAAGGGTCTTACCCAGTGAGATTACTTTCCATCTCCTCTGTGAGATTACTTTCCATCTCCTCTGTGTATATCTTGAAGGTACCTAGTTTTTTACATGTTGTCTCCCTCATCAGAAGGTGAACTCCTTGAAGGCAGGAACTGTTTTTGCCTTTCTTTATGTCCTCATAGTGGGTTAGGGGTAGAGCTTAAAAAATACTTGTTGACTGGCTGCCTGAACCATCATGTATTTAAAGGATGTGCTTTAACTTCCAGCATAACAAAAGCTGTTGTGGATATCTAAGTGACTCTGCATGTTAGGATTTTTTAGGAGAGTACTCTAGATATCTCATGACCTAGAGGTGTCCCAAGACAGAAGGTAAAATTCTCCAGCCTGCTAGACAAAGACAAAGTGGAGTTCCCAAGGATCATACCAGGCTTCCATAAAGTGAGCCTTCCTGTTGGCTTGGGAAAGGAAGGGGAACACAAGAGGCTGAGCCTTACAGGTTTTCCGCATCACCAGGTAGTCTCCACATTCATCCTCTATAGGCAGAAATATCTCAGGAACCACAATCAAAATGCGGCGCTTGGGAGGAGGATTGATGGTCCAAGTGCATTCAGTATTGGCTGGATAATTTCCAGGGTAGTTTGGAGATTCAATATATCCAGTGAACTCTCCTAGTTCCCCTCCACAATGTCTATCTATTAAAAGAAAACAAGTTTTAGCTGGAAAGGAATATCTAATAAAAAATGGTTAGCAGATTGTGCACAAGATCACTGAAGAGAGATCAGTCTCTCCCTGCCCTCAAGGAGTTCAAAGAAATGGCAGGCGTGATTGTCAAGTTGCTATCAGTGATCTTGTAAAGATATGGGAGAAATAACCTTCTTCAGAAGTGCCACAGGACTGGAAAAAGTCAAATGTCAGAATTTTCAAAAAAGGGAAAGAATAAGTCTACAACCTACAGATCAGAGTTTGACTTTAGTTATTGGTAAAGAATCTTGGCGTGTTATGGCGATGGTTTATGAGCACTTAGCTTTAAAGGGAATTAGCAATCACTGACTGGTAGATAAGGGAAATGTAGTGAAAATATATATATATTTTTTTTAATTACTGATGACTGTTTTTACAACACATTCATTTCCAAATGTTTGCAAACCTACTCAACCCAGCAAACCTTCTCTTAAAGATATAAAGAGAGAGAGGGGGAAAGCACTTCGGCAAAACCAAGCAACATATTGACTCTCTGACAATGTACGCAACATTCTATACCAAAGGAATCTTATCTCTGCAAGGAAAAGAGTGGGATGCCTTTTCTCAGTTCTCCTTCCTGGGCCAAGCGTGGTCATTATAATTACAAAGCATTCAGTTTCATTGCTGTAGGCATTGAATTTTTTTTCCTAGTTCAATTTATTTCATTCTGCATCTGTTCAGATGAGTATTCTTATGTTTCTCTGAAGCCTTTGTATATTTGTTATTTCTTATGTTGCAGTAATAACGTTGCATTATGTTATGTTTAGGTACCACAACTTGTTTAGTCATTTCCCAATCAATGCTATGCTTAGTTTTTAACGAGATGTTTGACAAAGCCTTTCATTCTTTGCTTATGGAGAGCTGAGTTTGGGGATAGAGTTAAGTGGATATGGAACTAGCTGAATATCTAGACCCAAAGAGTAGCCATGTCACAAATTAACATCAATTTGGAGGGTGGCCTCTCACAGACATTACTATGTTTATGTCCTTGATCCTGTGAGGCTGAACATTTTTATCCTGACTTAAATGAAAGGACAAATGACATCCTTCTCAAATCTGTAGATGACATGAAGCTTAGAGAGACAGAATAATCCAAATGCAAAAAAAAAAAATCCAGAATGTCTCAATTGATGAGATGAACTGAGTAAGATGTAATTTAATAGAATTAAGTGTAAACTTCTCTGCTAGGGTTCAAATAAATCAATTTCAAGAATATAAGACATGGCTGGTCAACAGTTCCTATAATGAACATCTTCAGCAGACTACAAATTCAATATGAGCAACAGCAAATAGCTGCCACACAAAAAAAAGCTAATGGTATCCTAAGTTCCTTTAAGAGAATCACTGAGTCCAGAACAGGGTAACAGCTTGCTATGCTCCATTCTGGGTTAGACTACACCAGGAGTATTATGTTGTGTTTTGTGTATCATATATTTTCTTTTCAGTTATGAACTTAAACAACAGACATGAACATTTCAACATACAAAAAAAGATCAGAAAAAGAGGATTACACATGAAAGCAAACTTCTATTATATGGTTTAGAATGTGTATATATTAAATTTAACACTATAGTTACAAAATTGCCCTGCTTGTCTGTATCTCTTTCTGAACTTCCTGTTCTCTTGTATAATTTTTAAAATGTTTCTTTGAACTTTTTTTCTTTTCTTATATCACTATCCACCCACCTCCCCCCAGAACTCTCTCCCCACCCAAGATAAAAAATTTTCCCTTGTGAAAAGTATAGTTAAGCAAAACAAAACCACACGTTAGTCAAGCATCTCATGCTGTACCCCTAATACATCACCTCTGTGCCAATGGGTGGGAAACATACTTCCTCATCAGTCTTTGGAGTCATGACTGGTCATTGCAGTGATAGGAGTTCTTAATTCTTTCCAAGTTGTTTTCCTTTATTATCATTTATTTATTATATTTATTTATCATATTATTATCATAATCACAATTTATAAAATAAATTGTACTCCCGGTTCCAATCAGTTCATTCTATATCAGTTCATATAAGTGTTCCCATGTTTCTCTGAATCTTTCCTTTGAGTCATTTCTTACAGCACAATAATATTACATTATATTCACATGCCATCATTTGTTTAGACATTCTCTAAATGATGGGAATACACTTTGTTTCCAGGTCTTCACTAGAATAAAAAGTGTTTCTCTAAATATTTTGGTATATATATTTTTTGTACAAAGACGTAGAGATTGTTTCCCTATGTCTTTGACCTTTTGGGGGTATATGCCTTGTAGTGGGTATTATTAAGTCGAAGAGTTTTAGGCATTACATTTTATTAAACATATAGATACGATCATGCGTCTCCAAAAGAGGGTGACCAGAATTATTAGATGACTGGAAAGTTTTCAGAGGGTCGGCTGAAGAAAATAGGGATAGTTAGTCTGAAGAAAAGCTTTCAAAAGATGTGATAGAGCCCTTCAAGTATTTAAAGTTTTATCATGGGGAAGAGGCATTAGAGTTATCCTTCTTAGCCCCAAAGATTAGAACTCGTAATAAGAGGATAAAAATTGTAGAGAGCTAAATTGGTTTTGATATAAGGAAAAAATTTCTAAACAATAAGAATTATCCAGAAGTAAAACAGGCCGCTTTGAATGGAAACCCCTTATCTTCCATTAGAGGTTTCGAACTTGATGACATCTTGTTGGAGCTATCTGTTGTAGGTTTTCTTAGTCAGGTTTTCATTGGACACGATGGATTTTTCAGGTCCCTTCCAGCTCTGAGATCCTGTGATTTCCCTTTTTAATTTTGACTCTGCCATTAATGACTCTAACCACCACCACCATAATGACACCTGGAACCACATCCAAGGTTCTTTTTTTTTTTTTAGGCAATTGGGGTTAAGTGACTTGCCCAGGGTCACACAGCTAGTAAGTGTCAAGTGTTTGGTCTGAGGCCGCATTTGAACTTAGGTTCTCCTGACTTCAGGGCCAGAGCTCTATCCACTGTGCCACTTAGCTGTCCCCCAACGCTCTTTTCATCTTAGATAGCTTTTTTTTTCATATAATTTCTTAATGTCCTTCCATTGATATCAAGAAATAGAATAAAACCAATTTTTTTATAGTCTTATGAGTTACTGAATTGATGCTGTTTATTTCTGGAGTTATCTTCCAGAAAGAAAATCTGTCCACATAGGTAATGGAACCAAACAACTAGACAGCATAGTAAACTAAATTTCCTCATTATATGGAAAGTTCGTGGATTATGTGAAACAAGGTAACATATACTTAGAGACCTCTACTTATGACTACTTCTCTGTTTATGAAACCTGAACTTTATGTGATCCCACAGAAGGAATTTACAGACTAAAGTCTTCTAAATAGGGAATACTTGATCTAATCAATCATCTTGGGTAACCTATCATTATAATTATTATTGCTATTCTGCCATTTTTCTATAGCATGAGGACCATCTTTTACTCCCACTAAAAATACGATTGTAAAAAATCGTCATAACTATTAAACACGATGGTCCAAATATGTGTGGCACTCCAGTCATACTATCCTATAATTCCAAGGGAATTGTGGACAAATTGAGAGCAGGATCTTTTGGAATGCTCAGTCATATTGGGGAAGTCCATTGATGGTAGTGGTGGTTAGCGAAATTAACGGCAGAGTCAAAATTCAAAAGGGAGATCCAGAGAACATGATTGAGAGCCAGAACAAAAGAATCTGGTAGGCAGTAACTTTGGGATAAGGGGTGTCCAATAAGACACACAGAGAGTCAAGAGTCAAACAGGAACCAAAGTGAAGTAGTCATCTCTTTTCTCTCTCCCTCTCTCCCCTTTCCCTCTCTTGTCCCTCCCCACAACATGAGAAAGCAACCTTTTGATTGGTAGGGGGAACGTATCAGGGAAAAACCTACTTTTACATTGAGTTACATTTGTGGAGCCATCAAAGTCAGTGGTGGTATTTCCTGGACAGGAAACACAGTAATTTTTTCCAAATTCAGGCTGATATGTTCCTGCTGAGCAGCGAATACACCGGTGAGTTGTAGTATTGTAGAAATGCCCAGGTGAACACTGAACTGCAGGAGATGGAAATAATCACTTAGTTTTCAAAAATACAAAATGGAACCAGAAAACTTTCACAGATCATGCAACAAACTGTCAGGATGTCAGTAAAATAATATCAATTTATGTAACTGAGACTGATCATTTAGTTAGTAACATTTACTTTAATGCTTGTTCTATGCACAGCACGACACAAGGCACTATAAGGAGATGCAAAAGAAATAAAAGCCATAACCTACGCCCTCAGAGAGCTCGAGTTAAAGGAAGGTATATGACATAGCAACAACATCCTTAAATATGATACATAAACTATTTCAACTAACATAGTAAAAAATCACATATTTAAGTTACTGAAGGAATGGAGGGTTTTAATGAAGTAATCAGATGGTACTGAGAAGGGAAGACATATAGCGAAAAGTGTGAGCTGTGATTAAAGTTTTGAAGTTAAGCATAGGACATGTGTTTGTAGAGAAGAGTGGGAAGAGAATTCTAAATAGGAGTAATAGAAATTGCAGGATGGAAACATGCAAGTCATAGAATCATGAAAAAATTCAGAGTTGGAAGGAACTCTGGAGAGCATTTTTTCAACCCCATGTTTAATTCAGGAGTTCCCTTTACATCGTGTACAGAGAATCTTGCCACAGAGAACACTGACCTTCCCATCCTCTTCCCCTTTATCTGGGGGGATGCTAACAATAAAAAAAAAAAAAGCTTATATTTATTTACTGCTTTATGGTCTAAAAAGCATTTTCAAATATATTATCTCACTATATCCTTTTAAAATCTTGAAAAAAAATAGAGGAAAGAAGATTCTGCCTATGCAAATCCATTAAGCTAAATATCACTCAGAACAGATACCATTAAGAAAGACGAGAGGTTGAAATACTGAGATACCAAAGTTCACAGGAGACAAAATCCAAGAAAGCAACCAGTCATAAAATCCATGGCTTCAAATATCTATGCAGAAATGTCCAATGTTTAGGCAACAAACAAGAGGAGCTAGAAGTCCTAGGCAAATTTGTCCTCAGAGTTACCATTAACACTTAGTAGGATGAAACATGATTGGAATATGGCTCTGGAAAGGTACATGTTATATGATTGTGATGGAACAGTATCGTGCTATGAGACATGATTGGGGGGATGGTTTCAGAAAAATCTAGGAAGACTTAAATGAACCGATACAAAGTGAAGTGAGCAAAACCAATCAACTGTGAAAGACTTGGCTATTCTGATCAATACAACGATCCAAGACAATTCCAAAAGACTCATGCTGAAAAAAGCTATCTGCCTCCAGAGAGAGAACTAATGAAGTCTGAATGCGGATTGAAGCAAAATTTTTTCACTTTATCTTTTTTTACTTTTCTTTTTGAAACATGGCTAATATGAACATATGTTATGTATGATTTCACATGTATAATTGACAACACATTGCTTGCTTTCTCACTGGGTAGGAAAGGGGCAGGAGAGAGAGAATTTAGAATTCAAAAAAATTTTTAATGAATGTTAAAAATAAATGATGTATTCTTTTTAAAAAAAAAAAGAAAGGTATACTATATTCAAAAAAAAGAGGATGGATAAAAGAGGATGGTGGTGTGGTAGCACTGTATATCATGAAGGTAAGAGGAAAGGTGTGGGCTAGCCCACCCCACTCCACCCCACTTAAAAAAGTGATAAGATACTATGCCAAGATACCTTAACCGGGCGAGAACACTTTTCTATTGAATCAGTTATGGGCATTAGTGTAAGTACAAAAAAGCCCTTGATCAATCTGGATCATTGGATGAACTGGAGGAACACTGTACAGAAAGTAAGTTTGGACTGATTGATTTGAGGAAATTTGGTCACACTCTGTGAATCCTCTATAAAACAGTAAGCCAGTTTAAAATCAAGAAATCTGAGTGTTTGCCAGTGGAGAGGAGATACAGCCAAGCTGTTGAGAAGGAATCATCTGGGGGAGGAGAGAAAGAGGAGTACCAGCACCTCAACCTTGGTCTCCTTCTCTGCCCCCTGGCTTGGTCAGAGGATCTCATGAATTTTGGAAGATTTCAAAACGATACTACTCTAGTAAAATACCCCTTATTATAAACTAATTAAGTCTGTTTGACTAATTTATATCAACTGATAATCATGAAAGGAAGCTTGCCAATGGTGAGGGAGACTGCATGTCTATGCATGGAGAATTTACCAGCCAACTTGGATTTTTAAAATATGCAAAGAAGAAAGCAAGAGATGATAAATATAAGAATGTAAAAATAGCTTCAGGCATGCTAAAGCTCAGAATGAGTTGAGTCTGGTGAGGGAAACTGAGGACAACCAACAGAATTATCAGGTTTGTTGTTGTTGTTGTTGTTGTTGTTGTTATTTTAAAGAATATTGGGAGAAGCAGCAGAATCAAAGGAAGAATAAGGACTCCCATGGAGTGAACGGGAAAATGACAACTGGTGGCAGAGAGAGCAGAGCTGGTGGGACAATACTGCGCTTCTGTTTTCTCTGCCAAGGAAAACGGTCTTTGCACTGGAAATGACAGAAGAAAAATGGCTAAAAGAAAGCTGATGCCCAACATAAGCAAGGAAATAATGTTAAGTAAGCTTCCAATGGCCATGAATGAATTCAAGTCGCCTAAGCCAGGTCCAGAGAAAAACAGGTTGAGAAGACAATTTTTGAGCCATTATCAGTGATCTTTGAAAAGATTATAGAAAATGGGAAAGATACCACAGGACTGAAAAATGGCAAATGATACCTCAATATGGGCCAGTCAGCTTGACTTTGATTCTTGAGAAAATTCTAGAATGTATCATTAAAGAGATGGCTAGGGAATATCTGGCAAAGAAAGTCTTAAACAATTACAAAGATGCAGCACGATTTCATCAAGAACGAGTCATTCGGGGCAGTTAGGTGGCACAGTGGATAGAGCACCAGCCCTGAAGTCAGGAGGACCTGAGTTCAAATCCAGCCTCAGACCAAACACTTGACACTAGCTGTGTGACCCTGGGCAAGTCACTTAACCCCAATTGCCTAAAAAAACAAAACAAACAAAACAAAAAAGAACGAGTCACGCCAAATTTATCCTCGTTCCTTTTTTGACATGATTCCTAAACTACATAATGCCTTAAGTATAGTTTACCTAAACTTTAACAAAGTATTTGATACTATTTCTTACTATACCTTCTCAGGGAGAGGGGAGAACAGAAGAGGAGGGAGAGAATTTTTAAAAAATGAATGTTAAAAATTATCTTTAGGGGCAGCTAGGTGGCACAGTGGATAGAGCACCGGCCCTGGATTCAGGAGGACCTGAGTTCAAATGCAACCTCAGACACATAATACTTACCAGCTGTGTGACCCTGGGCAAGTCACTTAACCCCACTGCCTAGCCAAAAAACAAAAAAAAAACAAACAAAAAATTGTCTTTACATATAATTGGGAAAAAACAAAATATTATTTAATAAAAAAGAATCAGTTGTCCAAAAGTGGAAAATCTGCCTCAAGAAGCAATAGGCTCCTATCTTCAAGCTGAGGCAGGATGACCACTTGCTGGTGATTCCTTTGGAGCATGGCTGGAATGATGGACATTGGGGTGCCTTCCAACTCTAAACTTTGTGAAACGTGAAAAAACAATGTGGGGATAGAACAGGCCAGTGTGCCAATCACCCATTCCCCTCCAAAACTCAGTGTCACAGGTAAGTATGGAAGAGTGTTCAAGAAGTACCCTGGGCCAGCAAAGATGAGCAGACAAGAACAGAGAACTCAGGGGGTGGGTCAAAGGAAAACCATGATTTTAGAACTTGAAAAAGGATTCCTTCTACTCAAAGACAAGAGGATGGAAGAAATGCTGGAGAGTCCCAGCAGCTGAGTGCTCTGGGTGTTTGCATCTAGAGGGTGCTGTGGTGCAAGGAGTGAGCACACCCCTTTGGAGTTCTTAAAGTTACATGCTTCAGTGGGATTTCTACGATGGAATTTTAAACAAGGTCATTTCTACGAAAATAAAATTTAGCCCAGCGTAGCATAGATGACAAGTAGAGCTGTAACTAGGGAGAAGTAGCCAGAGCTTTTCCACATGCTGCTAAAACATAAAGGGTGCTAGCAGCATTTGGATTCCCTCTCCACCCCAGCTAAGCTTGTCCCAGCCTGGCCCTACCATACTTGGTTGCCTAAAGTCAGCCTGTGATATTCATTAAGGGTCTCCTCCTGACTGTGACTAGGGTTCTAGGGTTTGTTTTCCCCCAAAGGAGAGTTTCAATTCTCTCTCCAAAGGAGAGGGGGGAATTGTATTCCTCAGTCTGCCCTCAACTGTGCTTGCCCTAGGTGTCAGGATTCTTAGTTATGGCTCTAATGAGGAGGGAGGGCAGCCAAGACATTCTTAGTGTCCTGGTCACATGGTAGCTAAAAAATGTGGACTTAGATACTAGCACCGAATGTAGAACTAGTTTTAACACAGGTTGGCGAATGTGCTGAGGCAGATTGACCCGGAGAGGTCCCGACACATTAGGTAACAACGATAACAAGAGTTCATATTTATCTAGTACTTGACTATTCATAAAGTGCTTTTTCCCTGCAGCCACTTCAAAGTTCTCATGGCATTTTTGCGGTCCTCTCCTTTGCAGTTATTTTACTCTGCCTAGCGTCATAATGTTTGTATACATGTTTTATTCCCTCCCAATAGACTTTGCTGCCTTTGAGAGAAAAGACTCATTTTGCATTCTGAATATGTAACCTAGTAGGTGCTTAAAAATATCTGTCGAATTTGAATTTGTCGAATTACCCCATGAAGAACAGAGTGCAAATGTTATCTATTTTAACATATTATTGATTCTTCCTCTTTTGTAGCGGCAAAAACAATGGCCTTGGGAATCAAAAGACCTAGTTTGAATCTGGGCTCTCTATAGACGTGACCTTGGGCAGGTCTTTTAACTTCCCAGAGCCTCAGCTTCTTCATCTGTGAAGTGGAGGCACTGTACTTGAAGCAGCCAAACAAGGCTATTATCAAGATAAAATAAGAAAATATATATAAAGTATTTTCTTACAATAAAATGTTACATAAATCTGAATTATTATTATTATTAACATGCTATTAAATAAACAAACATATATTTCTGTCCTTCTTGGGGTCATCTACCTAGCCGTCACTGCGAGATTAGAAGCTTCTTAAATGCCATTACTGTGCCTAACTTAGACAGGACAAGCTCTAGCTTATGTGTCCCAGGGCTATACAAACACAGACTATGGGTGTTTAATTTATTTTTACTGGTGGTACCAGCAACAACATCTTAACAGACATCCTCTTCCATAACACTACCAGATGCCAAGTACTGCTCTCTGACCTTACCTTTTGCCTCGCAGTCCTGGAAAGTGGTAGCGCCAGGATGTTTGGTAGTGAGTTCTCCCCTCCAACTTCCTGCACAAGGAAAGCAGGAAGTACGGCCACCTTCAGGCTGGTATGTTCCCAGGGGGCACGGCTGGCATGGGGAGAAGCCATTTGGAGAATATTCACCAGGAAGGCACTGACCTGAAAGAAACCAACACATAGCAGGTGAACCCCGCCTAACCTAGGAAAGCATGTATTTATTGTCCTGCACATGAAGGCATCAAACAATCTGTTCTACTAGGTTTTCCCACCATAGATACTGTAATGTGTTTCTAAGTGGCTTTAGAATGTTAAAGGATCAGTAATTAGCTGACATTCTATGGGGAGTCTGGGAGGAACTAGAATCCATTGTAGCCTTGACTGTCATGGTGGAAACAGACTGGGTAAATACAGAGAGAGGATGAAGAAGACTTTTTTCTTTAAAGAACTGTTTGAGTCTTTACCTTTCAAAGAGGATGAAGGGAATTCCCCCCCCTTTTTTTTTTTGGCTAAGCAATGGGGTTAAGTGACTTGCCCAGGGTCACACAGCTAATAAGTGTCAAGTGTCTGAGGCTGGATTTGAACTCAGGTCCTCCTAACTCCAAGGCCAGAGCTCTAACCACTGCACCATCTAGCTGCTCCAGATGAAGGGAATTCTTAAGGAACTTTCTGGATATCTTAAGGTAACTGCATGATGGGGCTGTCTTATATAAGTGAGAAGTCAAGAGTGGTAGACATGGTCAAAGGCGACTCTGGTTGTGATTTTTCTCACTGCTTAAACACTGTAAACAATAATTTATGTCTTTGTGTTATTATTGGTTACTATGTTAATAAATTGTACAGCCACTAACTTTAATACTTAAGCCTCAGAGGGGCAGCTAGGTGGCACAGCGGATAGCGCACTGGCCCTAAAGTCAGGAGGACCTGAGTTCAAATCTGGCCTCAGACCAAACACTTGACCCATACTAGCTGTGTGACCTTGGGCAAGTCACTTAACCCCAATTGCCTCACTAAAAAAAAAAAAAAGAAAGAAAAGAATATTTAAGCCTCAGAGATTAGGAGTTTTATTATATAGAGATATAAGCAACTGCTTATTGAAAAGAGGTTTCTCCAATTTATTAAATAAAAGATATTTATTTAAGTAATAATACTTAACAGGGGTCAGGGCTCTGAGTCAGCTGATTAATTACTGAGAGATATTATAATTTTAATAATTAACTAGGAAAAATCCAAACATACCCCTGGATTATCCTAGAACTCTGGATGATGAGAATGAATAAGTTAAGCAAGTCACATAGCAGGCTGAGGGGGGTAACCATCTCATATAGATGACAAGTAAGTTAGGTTAACTCTTTACCACTATTACAAATTCACAACCATTTGGAAACCATCTCCCACTGTCATACTGTCTGTACTACATGAGATTAATACAAAGAAATGATGCAGTGGCCGTGGAGTGTTGAATTTGGAATCAGGAAAACCTGAGTTCAAATCCTCCCTCAGATATTCACCATGTCGCCCCTGGGCAAGTAACCGAACCTCTCTTGGCTTCATCTTCTTCATCTGTAAAATGAGAGTGTTGGGCTCAATGGCCTCTCAGCCCTAAATCTTTGGTCCTATGAAATCACTTCCATAAGATTTTCTTATGCTTGGCCTTCAAGAAGATTCTATTTAACAAACCTTTATTAAGGACCAAATACGTTAATTACAATGTAGTATGCTGGCTATAGCGCAGAGGAAATATACAAATAAATAGTGGCTACCAGTCTCTAGGAACTTAGGATGTAGTAAGTGGAGATAAGGAATGGGCATAGACATAGAGGCTGGGGGCTGGACGATAGTTAGCATGTGGTCATAGAGTGCTATTGAAAGTAAGGAAGGAGGGTGCAGGGAGGGACGAGATGAGAAGAAAATCTGAACTCAAAATCTTATGGAAGTGAATGTTAATAACTAAAAATAAATAAATCAAAGAAAAAAATAAGGTGGGGAAGCCTAAAATAAATAAATAAATAAATAGAAGTATTTAGAATGGAAAAAAAAACTGAAAAAATCGATCAGAAAAGTCAAACTTGTTTTGGAATTGACTGGAGCAAAAAATAGTTCTACCCTTTGACTTAAGACGTTCAATAATAAATGGCCAAGAATCAGAAAGAAAAAAAAGAGAAGAACTGGGAGATCATTGTGCACAGGAACAGCAATGTTGTAATGATGATCAACCGTGAAAGACTTGGCTACTCTGATCAATACAATGATCTAAGAAAATTCCAAGGGGCAGCTAAGTGGCACAGTGGATAGAGCCCTGGATTCAGGAGGACCTGAGTTCAAATCCGGCCTCAGACACATAACACTTACTAGTTGTGTGACCCTGGCAAGTCACTTAACCCCACTGCCTAGCCAAAAAAAAAGAAAAAAATTCCAAAGGATTCACAATGAAAAAATGCCATCCACCTCCAGAGAGAAAACTGATGAACTTTGAGTGCTTCCCCCTACCCCAAATATGGCTAATATGGAAATATCTTTTGCATGATTTCACATGTATAATTAATTGATATAATTAAATTGATATATAATATAAAAAAATGAAAAAAAAACCTAAAAGTAAGGAAGGAGAGATCCTTTAGTTATAGGCCATCAAGGAAGGATTTGATAGTGCTGGAAATCTGAGCTGGGCCTGAAGGATGGGCAGGATGTCAAAAAGCAGAGATGAAGGGAAGGGTATTCAAGATATGGACAAAGGTATAAACAAAAGCAGAGTCAAGAAAGCACAGAAGATGTTTGTTGGACTCAAAATTTATCTGATTTAGATGCATTGTAAAGTATGTTCAATACATCAGTCAGATTGTTGTTAGCCTGGCAAAAGCTATCTAAACACCCAAATCTGAGCCATCCCTAGGAGGCTTTTTTTTTTTATTTGAACCAAGGAAATCTTGAGTCAGAATCAGTCCCCTGGCTGAGAGTAAACAGCCTCTTTTGGTCTAAGCATGTAGAGGCTATTTCTTTGAAAGGCTTCCCCAAAGTCTTTCAAATGAAAGCTAACCACTAAGAGGGAAGGTGATGAGCAGTGGGCCAGCAGAGAGAGCTCCAAGGCAGCATCTGCAGTTGGCCTAGCAACACTATTAGAGCAATCCAGCCACTACCAGAGGCCTCAAAAACTTCCACATCGCGTTTAGAGAGGTATGGAGGACAGCCTGTGCAAAAGCATGGAGAAGGGGGAGGAAATGTCACACATAAAGAACAGCAAGTGAGTCAGTCCTAGACCCTAGACCGTGTGAAGGGGACTAATGTATAATGATAAGTCTGCAAAGATGGGCCGAAGTCAGGCTGTAAAGGTCTTGGAAAGTACGAGAGAGGAGTTGGTACCTGATTTTAGAGGTAACAAGGCCCACTGGATTCTCTCAAGCAGGGGTATGACATGGTCAGGCCTATGCTGTAGGAATATCATTTTGGCACATTGGTGGAGCAGGGAGATAACCAGGAGATTATGTTAGGATGAGATCCAGCAGGGCTGCCCTCCCATCCTGCCCCACAACGTGGAGCAAGGCTCAAACTGCCTCTCAAGCTTCCTGTAGCCTCTGCCTATAGTGATTTGCTAGTCACCTAAGAGCATGAAAAAATCCCACCCAAGTGGGGTCTGCATCCTTCAGACAGGCTTGTCATCACCCACTACCCTTCTGACCAGTCCTGTTTCCATGTGGGCCCCATCTACCCAGAGCTAAGCATTATTCTATCCTTGCTGCACAGCTTTTCTCTCCATTAGGGCAAAGTAAAACACCTTTTGTTCTGTTAAATGACTTGAACGCCCATTTAGTACCAACATTAAACCTGAATTAACAGGCTGCCAGACTGAGCCAAGCCCAACCCAAGAGAGGCTATTAGAATAGTTGGGTGAAAGGTGATGAAAGCCTGAACATAAGCGGTGGCTCTGGGAGATGGACGTAAAAGACGCTGTGGAGGCAGAATCAACAGACTCGTCAACTGTCTGGATACGTGGGATGAGGGAGAGTAAGTCAAAGATGACCACAAAGTTGCAAATGTAGGTAACTGGAAAGGTGGCGGCACCCTTGACAGAACCAGAGAAGTTCAGAAGAGAAGGGTAGATTCGGAGGGAAAGATAAAGAGTTGTTTTGGACATGTTGAGATTCCTACTGGACACCCATCAAGGAAACAGGATTGGAGAATCACAGATATAGAGATCCCTCGAAGCTTTAATCTATGGTCCTAAAAAGTGGAAGTGCCAAAAGAGAACAATGTGTATGACAGCAGGCCTTTCACAGGTTTGTGGTGAGCCTCAAATTAGGTAACAACTGTAAAATGTTTGGCAAACCAGAAAGCATGACATAAATGCTAGCTATCTAGTATTATCTAATTTTTAAAAATTCTTCAAGGGGCAGCTAGGTAGCACAGTAGATCAAGCACCAGCCCTGGATTCAGGAGGACCCGAGTTCAAATCTGGCCTCAGACACATAACACTTACTAGCTGTGTGACCCTGGGCAAGTCACTTAACCTCACTGCCTAGCCCCCCCCCAAAAAAATGTCTTCTGGTTGGTATCATTGGTCTCAGCTGGATTTATGTTACCAAACTCAAAAAGGGCTTTTCAAAAAACTATTCTAAATATGCCAATTTCCTCTTCAAAATTTTTCAAGATACTGGAAATGTTTTTTATCACCTGTGGCACTTCTGGAGTTTAAGTGTTTTTACTGCCTTCAAGTGCCTCAGTTTTTTCCTCTGCAGCTCTAATTAACTCTTCAATTCTACTCTTATTTCATCTACCTTAAATTTAGGAATGAATTTATTTCTTATAATTTCCCTACAGTGATCCATAACACATTGCTGTGTAATTTGGAGCTCAGAGTATTATTGACAAAAAGCAGCATGAAGCCCTTGCCTATAATTGCTAAGATCTGTTTTTGGTTTTATGATGTGGTACTGGCATATAATAAAAACATTAATTTCTTCAAGCCATTTCATGCTTTTTTGTTTATCACTCCCATGCACCAAAGCATTCTGGAAGGTGTCATCTCGGTATTTCTGATTTGCTCCAATATAGTTTGCATTTTTGTGGTACCAAGAAACAGAGGCATGCCATTTGCCCTCTTGTCCTCTGTGTCAAGCTGATCAAGTAGGGCTAGCTCCATCTGTGCTGCCCTAATTTATAGTTCTAGGAACTGGGGTACTAACTCAATCAGTGCTATTTTCAGAGCCCAAATGGCTAGCTACAAGGTTCCTGCCAGTGTACACATTACCCTCACTGGCATTCCCTTATTTTGCCATTCTCCTTTTCCTTCCCCACTCTGCCCCCATTTTCCACAACATGAGGGGTCTATTATTATTGTTATTAGCAGTAGTACTGGTTTTGGAATGGGCAAGGTTAACAGTAGGGTTAAGAAGGAATTGAAGCCCACAGTAGGTGAGAAGACCAGGAAAACTTAACTGATCTAAAGTATTTCAAATCTCCTGGCCTGGATGAATTATATGCCTGAGTACTAAAAGAACTTGTAGATGTGACTGCTGAATCAATGTTGGCAGTCTTAGAGTAGTCACGTACTAGAAGACTGGAGATGATAATAATAATAATACCAGCTAATATTTATAGAGCAGCTACTGTGTGCCAGACACTCTGAGAAGAGCTTTACAAATATCTCATCTGATCCTCACAACAACCCTAGGAAGTAGGTGCTATTATTATTCTCATTCCAGTTCCAGTTGAGGAAACTGAGGCAAACAAAGTGACTTGCTGAGGGTCAAAGAGCTAGTAAGTGTCTGAGGCTGGATTTGAACTCAGATCTTCCTACTTCAGGCCCAGTGCTCTATCGATTGCACCATGTAACTACTAGCATACTTTTCAAAAAAGGGTAAAAAAGTATCCTCTACAAACTATGGCCAATGACCTTGATGCTGATTTCCTCATAAAATTCTTCAACAAGTGATTAAACAGAGAACTTGTAAGTATTTAGAAAGCATTAATTACCATGAACCAGCATGAGTTCACTAAAAATAAGTCATACCAAATGACTCTCATTTCCTTTTTTGACAAGGTTACAGGGCTGATCGATCAGGGAAATACCATGTATATAGTCTATCTAGATTTCACGAAAGTGTTTTAACAAGATTTCTTAAACTTTGAATAAGTAGATAAGTAGGAGCTGAATAACAGTAAAGTTTAGTTGTACAGCTACTGAATAATTACAGCAAACGTGTTGATTAACTGATTGATGTTAACAGAAGTTCAATGTAAAAAATTCATAGCAGATCCTATCTTCATAACCATATAATTAACTAAAAGGTTATAACAAATATTAGACCCCACCGTACCTATTCTTGGTGATTTTTCTTAAAAAACTAACTCAGGAGAACAAAGTGTAGCCTTTTAAAGACTCTTCAACAAGGTGTTTCTCACTTGTTAAAATCAAATCTATTTCCTTGATAAAAGCAAAAAGAAATAACTGTTGTTTAGCAGGTGCTCCAAAGGGGAATCGAATGGATGTAAGTTGGCTGAAGTATACAGCAAATGATGACTTGTACAAAGAAATTATGTAAAAGATATCAACGCAGAAATGTACAACTGGAAAAGGAGGTGGGTCAGCCATGGAGTGAGAGGGAGAGATAACAGATGGACAGCCTGAGTGTTTCAATGGAATGTTAGAAGACCTAAAATAAGAAAGGCTCTGGCATTTTCAATGGATCACACACGAATGATTTGCAGGTATGACAGAGGACAAGAAGACATGAATAAATTGAGATGTGTGTCACTGGATGAAGTTTCTATATTGATGAAATTGCAGGTACAATGAAACATTGGATGAAAGCAGAGATGGCATGCTTAACAAACGTGCCTTTGATACAAAGCTGAGAGTAATAATTAATATGCCAAATGACAGTCAGGATTCAAGGAAGATCTTAACAGGCTAGAACCATGGATGAATCTAATAAGCTGTATTTTATCAGTGATAGATGTAAGGTCCTAATGGGTTTAGACCATATATGGAATGTTATTTTCAGTTCTGGGAGGCACATTTTATAAGACACCATTGGAGTGTCTCCACAGGAGGATGACCAGGATAGGGAGGAGACTACAGACAACGACATAAAGGATTGTTAGAATGAACTAAGGATGTTTGTCCTGGAGAAGAAAAACCTTCAAGAGGTCATGGTAGTCTTCAAGTATTTAGGCTATCATTTGGAAAGGGGAATTAGACTTTTCTAATTCTAATTCCTAATTTTCTGTTTTGCCCCAGAGGGCAGAATTAGGAACAAGGAGTGAACTTGCCAAAAAAGCAAACGTAGTCTTGATATGAAAAAAAAGGAATGGGCTGCCCCACAGGGGTTCTCCATCACTGGAGACCTTCAAACAAAAGCTGGATGACCATTTGCAGGAGGGATTCCAGTCCAGGAATGAGCTGGACTCCATGATTACCAACATTACTCCCAACTATGAGATTCTGGGAATTTTTTTAATAGTTCCAATTAGTTTTTCTAGGGTAGGCCATGGCAATCTGACAAAGCAGGGTATTAGACATGAAAAAGAAAGGAGCAGGGGCCAAAGGAATTTCTATGCATTTTGATATTAAAATGTAACAAACCTCATGCAAAAATTTTTGAGTCAATAGCTTTTACATTTTCTCTAACAAGATTAGAGAAAATTTCTTTCTTCCTGTACCTCATTTTCTTCTCTAATAAAAATTAGAGCAAAACAAATAAACATGGATATACCCTATAAAAACCTTAGCTTGGTTTCAGAATCAAATTTTTCTGAGACACAATTTGAAATTCAGATATCACAGGGTTTGTTTTTTTAAAATAAAACCAGATTTAGATTTTCTTTTAAAAATGACATTAACCTAAATACCTCACAATATGGTGATGGTTCAGCAAACAATAGCATAATTAACACAGTGGAATATTATACAGCAATTAAAAATGACAAGCATATGTTTCATTTCAATACCTGGAGGTGTGTATATGAAAAGCAGTACACAAAACAGTCTGTATACAATAATTATAGTGTGTAAAGTCACATGTAGGTATGGATATTAAAATTAGAAAAAAATTGAGAGACATAAATGGAATTTTATGTTCTTTGGAGTTTTTAACAAGTTCTTCTAAATAAGTAAGTTCAGTCTGTGTTTCAAACACAAGGAAATCTGACTCCTTTCTTCATTCTTGAACAAGAGTGTAGGCTGGTCAGACTCTCAAACCCTAGGCTATTATATATTTACAACAAATAAACAATGTAATAACAGCAACATTATTACTTTCCTTCTGCCAAAACATTCAATTCAGTTTAATTCAAAGAAATACTTACTTGGTGTATATAATGAGGGGATCACAGCTTCTGTCTAAATGAGGATAACATAAAAACCTTTACTTGTTCTAAAGACAAAGGGTGAACGTGAACAGCTTGAGTTTCCTTACCTCCACATTCAGACACATTGCGAGCTCCCGCGGCCTTCTGGTCCCCCATATTCTCTGTGTTTGGGCAGGGTTCACATGTTATTTGTCCTTCCTCATCTTGGTATGTCCCATTTGGACACAAAATGCATCGCCCTTGACCTCCATCGTATGTTCCAACACCGCAAGGGACTAAAAAGCGGGAAAAAATGATCTGGTCAGCAGAGAGCCCGGGCACAATCTATAACAATCTAAAAAATGAATAGATAATGCTGGTGGTAAATAGATGTGGCACTAAAAGAAACAAAACTGGAGCTCTAACTTATGAAATTAATCTCGGTTCTGTGTTCCTGACTCTATCAGTCACTCACTCTTTAACCTTGGGTGAGTTTTCTTCCCATCTTTGCAGGGATGTCGTAAAAATGTGAAGACCAGCTCCCCAAGGACAAGTCTTTCAAAAGTGCCACATTTAACATTAGGCAGTGAACTCCACAGTCAGGGCTGGAACTGTATTTGCTGTTGTTCAGTCATTTCAATCGTGTCTGACTCTTAGTGACCCTATTTGGGGTTTTCTTGGCAAAGATACTGGAGGGGTTTGCCATTTCCTTGTCCAGCTCATTTTATAGATGAGGAAACTGAGGCAAATAGGGTGAAATGACTTGCCCAGGGTCACACCGCTCGTAAGTGTTTGAGGACACATTTGAACTCAGGTCTTCCTGACGCAAGGCCTGGTGCTCTAGTCATAGCACTACCTTGCTGCCCTTGTAACACTGAATGGGTATCAGGAAAGCACCTAGATGTCCAGGTGGCTTGGTAGATAGTGTTAACACTGAATCAGAACCACCTGAGTTCATATCCTGATTCATATACTTCCTAGCTGGGTGACCTTGGGCAAGTCACTTAACCTCTGTTTGCCTCAGTTTCCTCATCTATAAAATGACAACAGGAATACCTACTTTACAGGGCTTTTGTGAGGATCAAATGAGCTAACATATGTAAAGCACTTTGCAAAGTTTAAAGGGCTATGTAAATGCCAGCTATGATTATTACTATCATTATATGTTACCCTGCAATCTCAGTACGTCCTTTCTTTTTGGATAACATAGCTCCTGGATGATGATCCAGCAAATGCAGAGTGAATGAGTTCTCTACTTGAGAGTGAAATGACAATGAGAGAGAGGGAGAGGGGAGGGGAGGGGGAGGGGGAGGGGAGGGGGAGGGAGGGGAGGGGGAGGGGGAGGGAGAGAGGGAGGGGGAGAGGGAGAGGGAGAGGGAGAGGGAGAGGGAGAGGGAGAGGGAGAGGGAGAGGGAGAGGGAGGGAGAGGGAGAGGGAGGGAGAGGGAGGAGAGGGAGAGGGAGAGAGAGGGAGGGAGAGAGATAGGGAGGGAGAGAGATAGGGAGGGAGAGAGAGGGAGGGAGAGAGAGGGAGAGGGAGAGAGAGAGAGGGAGGGAGAGGGAGGGAGAGGGAGGGAGAGGGAGGGAGAGGGAGGGAGAGGGAGAGGGAGAGGGAGAGGGAGAGGGAGAGGGAGAGGGGAGAGAGAGGGAGAGAGAGAGAGAGAGAGAGAGAGAGAGAGAGAGAGAGAGAGAGAGAGAGAGAGAGAGAGAGAGAGAGAGAGAGAGAAGGAGGGAGACAGACAGACAGACAGACAGACTCAAATCTTATCCAAGGGGATTTATCTAAGTCTCTGATGTAGCAAGCTGGGGATAGGAACATGATCAAAGTTCCAGCTCCCCTACAAGTCATTGTTTAGGAAAGATAGTACAGCCTATTTAAATTTACCGTGTATTGCTTCATTACCATTTGGGTGACCCACAGTTTTGATTCTTTATATATTGTGATGTTTCAGGCTTGATGGCCAGCCACATAGCATCACTAGAATAATACTGGTGTTTAAAAGAGAAGTTTATTGTTTCAAAGAACAGCCCGGGATTCTTGAAAATGCTATAAATCTCCAAAATGAAATCTGACTTCCTATCTCCTTCCTATTCTATTCTAGCCCAGCTCATTATCTATGGAAGCACTGAGGTCAGCTGGGACAGAGGGGATGGAGTGCTGGGCTTGAAATCAGAAACTCCCAAGTTTGAATCCTGCCTCAGACAACCTTGGTTGGACAAAGTCACTTAACTCCTCAGTTTTCTCATCTATAAAATGGGCATATTAATAGCACCTACCTCATAGGGTTGCTGCGATGACCTAATGGTGTTTTGCAAACCTTAAAGTTCTATATAAATGCTTACTATTAGCAATGTGTGTTTAAGATGTATGTATGGAAGGATCAGTTCACTGAGCTAACTAAATTAGGAGACTCTGCATTATTCTAGAACCTGATAGACTCAACCCAATGTCATCCACAAACAGGAACACCTGAAGGACATCACCAACTAGCAAAGGTTCTTAACCTGGGGTTTATGAACTTGGTTAAAAAATTTTTTTTATAATTGCATTTAATATAATCAGTTTCCTCTGTGATTCTATGTATTTGATGTTATGTGACATAAAAAAGGTTAAGAACCCCTTCTACAGACAATGTATGTTATAAGCAAACGTTAGGGTATGTGTGACTTCATCCATTCATCACTTGCTTCTTATCTGGCTTATACTGAACATGGGCTTAGTAGCCATACTACTGAAAGGACAGGGGTCAAAACTACCCACCCAAATTTTAGTTCTGATACACATTTATCAGGCGAGAACATTCTCTTAGCCCAGACACCTTAACTAAGTGAGAATCTGTCTCAATCAGTCAAGGACCTTAGATTAACTACAAAAAACCTTTGAAAGGCATTGGATTAAGTGAAATGATGCCACACGTTAAGTTCTGTAAACCAAGGGATTGTGTCATGGCCTCTGAATCCTGCATAAAAGCACTGAGTTAGTTGGAATTGGAGAGTTCCAGTGCCTGGCAAGCCAGGACAGCATATGTTCTAGCAAACCCATGAGAAGGAATAACTTGGGGGAGGGGAAAAGGAAACCAACTGGACTTGATCTCCTCACCCTGCTCCCAATTTGGCTGGATGGCCTTTTGAGCTTTGCAAGATTCAGGGAATATTGGACTTCCTCTCTTCCCATCAGCATCCTAGTGGTAGCATGGGTCAGCTGATGACAGTGTCTGAATTGGGAGCCGAGGACAGACTGGACACAGATTCATGGCTCCATAAGGAGTTCAGCAAAGAAACTATGCCACACTTAAGGGAAACTTATTGAGTGCCCCAGGTTTAAGAAAAAAGGACCACAGCAGTAAAGAGCTGTGAGTTACCCCTTTGCCACATTGCTTTCTAAGCTTGAGCCCACTTTCCTCCTGACTCTTTATATGCTTGTGGAATAATGTGTCATACAAGAGTTCTAGGCCTGGAGTCAGGAAGATTCCTCTTCCTGAGTTCAAATCTGGCCTCAGATGCTTACTAGCTGTGTGACCCTGGGCAAGTCACTTAACCCTGTTTCCCTCAGTTTCCTCATCTGTAAAATGAGCTGGAGAAGGAAATGGCAAGCCACTCCAGTATCTTTGCCAAAAAAAAAAACCCAAAAGGGGTTGTGAAGAGTCAGACATGACTGAAAAACGACTAAACAACAAAAACATGACTCACATCAACATGAATAATGATGAACACCTCTACAGACCACAATTATAAAAGGGGCAGAGAGCCAAGACCAAAGCTACCGGCATCATTACCACCTATAGGGCCTAGTCCTTTTCTTCTTCCTCTGACTCTGATCAAATGCCCTCTCCGCACTAAACACTGAACTCTTTTGACCACAAATAATCAGTTGTTAGTCTCTGACTCCACCAAACCATTAGTGTATTAGCAGTCTTTTTTTTTTTCAATGACACCTTTAAATTCCCCTCTAACTCAAGGAACAGTTATCAGACACCACCTTTTGTCAGCTGGTTATGCAGAGAACTCTTCCCTTCTCAGTCACTGCCTGTTAGCCTAACAATGACTCAGTATCCTGACATCGTCTCTCTTACCAAACTAACTCAGGTTAAAAGCAGAAAGAGTAAGTTACCTACCTTGGGCACATAGCAATTTATAAGATTATTAATGTAAGAGAGTATTTACACGGATGATATCAGAATGATTTCAAGAACTATGCCAATGGCACCTTTTAGAGAAACTGATCAATGCGGTTTACTTTTATCATGGTACAGCTGGCAGAGAACAGATCTTACAGCTGTATCGCTGATGAGCCTATTGGCTTGCCTCAAAGTTAGTTACACGTGTTTGCATGTGTAAATTCATTCTTTGGAGTCATTTAAGGCACTGGAAGCCTTTTAAAGAGTACCATTTTGGAGAGGTGAGAGAATCTCTTACAACATCCTAGATCTGGCATTGTTTCTTAAAGGACCAGGGGGTGTGGAAAGGCACCATTGGCCTAATGAGGTTGGATAAGGAGGGAGCAAATCTTTTTTTATTCCCTGTGAAAGCCCTATTTCATATAAACAGTCAAGAAATAACCATTTTTCTTAAAAGAGCAACTTCTATAGAAATAGAAGTTTTGTTTACTTCACAAATAACATGAGAGGCAATCTAAGATTTGGTTCTCTCGACAAGGTCTCCATGTCAAGAACAGCTTGAAGATAACTGTTTCCAAATGTGCTGAAGATCCAGCTCAAACAGAACTCGCTCAGAAATTCCAGTTGATTTTCTTCTCTCCATCAGCAGCCTGATTGTTGTGAGCCCACCACACAAAGGAGTCAATTGCCTTCGTACACTTCATCTCTGCAGCCCCAGCCTTTGTGTGCCTTCAGTGACCATTAAAATCCCATTCTCAAATCTCACACAGCTGTTTTTGGCCCCCTTTAAAATAAAATACGAGAAAGCTTTTCTGATGCAAAAGGCGAGAGGCCAGCAGGGGCCTGGATTAATAGCTCCAAAGAGGTTTAAGGGCTCTTGCCTCTCCTTTCAGGCCCTTCCTCTTTCAGGAGTTGATGCTGTGGACAAACACTATGGTATCTCTGGGACTAAGAAGGTGAACCTAATAAAAGGGGTCAGTTTCCAGCATCTAACTATTTTCTGAAGAATCGCGCCTTGACTTTAGAAGGAAAGTCACAAACAGCCAATGCAAATGAATTCCCATGGTGTCCTCAGAGTTATCACATTTTAAAAGTTCAGGAACTGAGGTCATCCTAAGCAGTAACATGTCCAAAGGATTTATGTTTTCTTCTATTTTTGTGAAAGGCCCTGGTTAATCA